AACGGCCACAGAGCTGGGGGTATCTGGCACTGAAAGCACAGAGAGGAGGCAGGGGGAGGCGATTTCCCTTCTGCTATTGACATGCAAATCACCCCCGCAGTAACTCCCAGGTTTAATATAATTCCAGATTGCCTGGTGTGGCGTCACATTAGTCAAGTCTATGTGGCAGTTAAGTCCAAAAGGACTCTGATTAGAGTCAGCATTTCCACAGCAGCTTCAAGGACAGGCTGGAAATAAGTGCATAGCACCCACCTTGCCCCTCTGCTGACCCCCTGCAGCAGGGAACCCATGGGTTTTGGGGACCGCAGGCCATAGCAGGAGAGCCCCTCATTGGCAGAGGGGCCCAGGGACGTGCATTGCAGCACCCCAGTTCGTGCCTGGGGACAGGACCAGGGGCATTCCTGCTACATTTGGATAAAGATTTCAGTGCCCCAAAGCCTTCCCGACATCCAGACCAGCGATATTGCACAGCTGATTGGAAAGCAGCACTGACCACAAGTGCAATAATGAAAACGATTTTCCTCCGCACCGATGGGATTCCTTATTCCTTCCTCTCTCTGAATTGCATCTCTCATTATACCCACACATTGCCTCGCTCGGGCCCTCCCTGTTCTGCACGGCTCCATCCCAGCTTTGCTAAAAATCCCACTGAGCTCAGCTGCCAGATTGCTTTGAAAGTTTTCCTTTTGTCCATTCATTCCCATTGCTGCAAACCAATCTGTCTGAGAAGCTCATTCCTTGTTATTCATTAGGAGCGCCAACAAAGCCCTCTGTTCCTGCACTCAGAGCTTTGTTTTCAGCTCTCCATTCAGCCTTGCGTTTGTGCTCCTTGGATGCTCACACTAAAAGCTTAAATCACTCACAGCCCGAGCCCTCTCGCTCAGCGTCTTTAGTTTGCAGCTAGAAGTATTCTCGCTTTAGCTTTCTGCTCACCCTTCTATCTTCTCTTTAATTAAAAGCCCTTTGGTCTCTGCGCTGCTCGCTAGCACTTGAGCTAGGATGTGGTTTCTCTCTGCCACGAGAGCGGAGCAGCTGAGAATGTCAGAACCGTTTTTCACAACAACCTTGCTTTGACCCGGGTTTGACAGCTTTACCACCAAGCATTTCATCTCTTACTTGCCCATCTGTTCATTGATTAAAATCCCACACTCCAGTATGCAGCTCTGCCTCCACAGCCAGGAATTCCCTCCCAGCACCACGGCTCTCAGACAATGCCCCTTCCCCAGCAAAAGAAGAAAAAAAACACAACAGGAAGCCATGCAAACTGCCTGATGGAAACTGGGAGGATGCAGGATTGCTGCAAGGATCAGCCTTACAGCTTACTGTGCAAGCTCCAGAAATAGGAGAGATCTGCACTGGCAGCATCAGTAGCAGATCACCCCACACCTCCTTTGTGCGCACAGTGGGAATTTTATCCTGGGACACACAGTGCCGAAAGGAAGCAAGAGCCGCGCTCAGTCTTAGAACACGGATTTTAATGATAGCTGCCTCTAAACGCTGCAGGTGTCAGGGTTCAGGAGGAAAGCCGCAACGCTGGGAGGCTTCTGTTGAGCAGCGAAATGAGTCAGTGCCACCTACCGGCTACGGGGATCCCACCACTCCCGCATTCACCCCATTCAGCCTCAAGTTTTATTATAAAAACTATCTCGGGTCGCATTTCCCATCACACCATGGCAGTGCTTCCAGCATCCACCTGCAGTGGGCACAAAACCAACGGCACCTCCTGGAGTGCCAATTCCTCCTGGAGGTTCTTGAGGCCCCCCATCAGAGCCCTCCAGCTCCTGATAGGGCTGTGCTCAACCATATCCAGAGCTCTGAGGATGTTCCAGTGGCCAAACCTTTGCTCCAGGGCTATGGCTTCATGCTCTCTGTGCCCTTGCCCTTTCCTACAGTCTTCTTTGGGATGCCCCTTTGCTATCTCTGAAATAATCATAGATAATTGCAATGCACTGTGTACACAGCAACCCAACAGCTCTAAGGCTGCTGAGAGGTGTCACAGCCTGGATGAGACACCAGGCATTTCTGGCTAGCAGCATCACTCTCTTCTATAGCATCAAGTTTAACTGGTCACCAGTTTTTAAATGCATTTCACAACCATTTCAAAAGGAAAATACATCATCGCTCTGTAATTAATTCTGTAATTAGGCTCCAGTGCCCTGGCACTGAAGAAAACACACATTTCTGTCACATCTTTCTCTTGAAGGGCTGCTGTATTTGCTCAGCCCTCAGATATTAATTATCCCCCCCCATTTATCCTCCAGCACTAACAGGCTGCAGCAGTCGGAGGACACGGCAGTTGTGCTGCAGGAATTGCCCCGGGCTCCATTTGCTGCTGAGGGTCTCAGAGCAGAGCTGCTGTTGGTCTCTTTGCAGGAATGCTGGCTGAAATAAAATCACCAAGCTGCTTCTGTCAGTCCTGGTAAAAAACAACGAGCACTTCAAAGAGCACAAAAAGGGCAGATTCTGCCTTTCTGGAAGCAAGGAAAGGCAGGCTGCCTGTAGCAAGCTGCGCGCAGTACAGCAGCAGCTCCTGCTCTGAGCTGCTTTTCCTCCCACACTGCCCTGCCCCAGGGTAGGCTGCAGCAGGCAGGCAGCCGGCATTGCCCAGCCCCACAGCCCCGGCATCCTCCCCAAAGCACGAGGAGCTTCGGAGGGCACCCAGAGCCCGAGGAAAGCAAGTACTGCCGCAGACCAAGGCCTGAAGAAGGCGGTGAACCCAGCCAGTCTGCAGCCGTTGCTTAGCAACACTAGAGCGGGCCACGCAGTTCTTAAATAGCAGGTGTCCCGCACCCCTGTCCAATGCCCGCTTTTCATTGGGCAGATCTCTTAAGATTGACATGATCTCGATCCAATCGTCACCCTCCACGAGCCTCTCCCGTCCTGTAGGCGTGGCACTACCCGGAAGACGCCACCGGAAGCGGTACACAGGAAGTGGGCGGAACGCGTTGGAGAAGGAAGGGCCGTGTGCACCAATGAGAAGCGAGAAGCCGCGCGGCTCATCCAATGGCAGAGCGCGGAGGGCGTGGATGCGAGGAGGCGGGGCAACCTGGATGGAGCCGGCAACAGGAGGCTGAGGGAGGCGGCCAAGGTGGGCAGGGGAGGGGAAATGGGGCCTGAGGGGAAAGTAGGGCCCGGGGCTGCGGGGAAACGGGGCCGGGAGAGGCTAAGGCTAAGGCTTCGTGGGGGTGAAGCCTGAGGAGAGGCTGAGGACTGGGACTAATGGGAGATGGGCGTGAGGGGAGGCCAAAGGTCTGGGGGAGATGAGGAGGAGGGAGGGTGCCTGCGCTGTGGGTTCTGGCTTCAGCTGTTCCTGTTTGCAGGCAGAGGCGGTACGAAAGGAGATGTCCCTCGGGTCCCCGCTGGAAGCAGGATGAATCTCATATCTATGGCGGCAGAGCCCGAGCTGAAATGGGTAGCCCTGTGGGTCCGAGTCAGGTGGGCAGCCGTGCTCGTGCTGCTGCTGGGCTCCCTCCTGCTGCTGCTGCTGCCGCTGCCTGCCGTGGAGGAGAAGTGCCATGCGGTGCTCAGGGGGCTCTCCTTTCTGAGGAGTAAGCTGGGCACCGGCTATACGGGCGTTACCAGGTACACGGGGCAAAGTACCGGGCTGAGTGTCACCTCGCAGGGGCTGGAGCTGCTGGTGCTGAAGGGCAAGGCCTCCCCAGGTGAGTGCGTGCCCCACCGCTGTGCGACTGTTGGACTGTGTGATCTGAGAGATCCTGAGTTGATGCCGTGATTCCAACCCCCCTGTGTCTGGGGGACCCGCATCCCCTGCCTGAGCATCTCCTTGTATCTCCAATGGTAGTGAACTCTCACTACCCCACTCTGAGCTGGAAATTACCAAGAGGTCACTCTTGCCATCGCCAGGCAGCAGCCAGGCTGCATTCCATGGTTGGGTACTGTGCAGGTGTTTCTGTAGTGCTGTGTCATCTCAGCTTATCCAGGTGCTTTGTGCAGTGGTGAGATGTGATGAGGTAATTGGAACACCAGCAATAACAGGCTATGGTCACTGGCTTTAGTGGACAGGACATTCAATTGGGAAATATTCAGAGGAATCATTATGGTTCCTGCACGGTATCATTGACATTACAGCTATTATTGCTGGGAAGATGAAAAACCTGTGCTATTAGCAGCTGTGGAGGCTGCTCTCAGCAAGGGAACTGGCATTACAGCCAACTGAATGTACTCACAACTCTGCGTCCTCCCATACACAGCAGCCTGGTAGCCAAAGCAAGCTTTGCTAGCATCAGAATCCTGCACCTGTGCCTTGCTATTCGCAGGCCCTGCCTGGCCCTGGTTCCTATCAGGAGCAGCTCTGCTGCTGAACTCTCTGCCTGTGAGCATGGCCTAAAGCCCTTGGGCTTGTGGCAGGAGTACAAGTTCTCTGCTGCAGGTCTTACGGAAAAGTTTTATTTAATTTCATATCAGAGAACGGTGATAAGTCTCCAGAAGCTGGCAGTAGAACCCTGTGATCAAACTGCTCTTACTGTTGCATTTCAGAAGTGAAGTTAGAAGCCAAAGCAGCTCTGAACCAAGCCCTTGAAATGAAGCGCCAAGGAAAGCGAGAAAAAGCGCACAAACTCTTTGTATACGCCCTCAAAATGGACCCTGATTACGTGGATGCCCTGAATGAATTTGGCATTTTTTCTGAAGAGGAAAAAGACATTCTTCAAGCAGACTATTTGTACTCCAAAGCACTAACCCTCTCTCCCTGCAACGAAAAGGCTTTGATCAATCGGGACCGGACGTTGCCTTTAGTTGAAGAAATTGATCAGAGGTATTTTAGCATTATTGACAGCAAGGTTAAAAAAGTGATGGCGATCCCCAAAGGCAATTCTGCCCTGCGCCGAGTGATGGAGGAGTCCTACTATCACCACATCTACCACACGGTTGCTATTGAAGGGAACACTCTGACGCTGTCAGAAATACGACACATCATCGAGACCAGATACGCTGTTCCTGGAAAAAGTTTAGTGGAGCAGAATGAGGTGATTGGCATGCACGCAGCTTTGAAATATGTCAATACCACTCTGGTCTCACGAATAGGCTCCGTTACCATCACTGACATCCTGGAGATACACCGGAGAGTGCTGGGCTACGCTGACCCCGTGGAGGCGGGGCGCTTCAGGACTACGCAGGTGTTTGTGGGGCATCACATACCCCCACACCCCCAGGACGTTGGCAAACAGATGCAGGAGTTTGTGCAGTGGATGAACTCTGAAGATGCCATGAGTTTGCACCCCGTGGAATTTGCTGCCTTGGCCCACTACAAATTGGTTTACGTCCATCCTTTTACAGATGGCAACGGGAGGACGTCACGTTTGCTAATGAACCTCATCCTGATGCAGGCAGGCTACCCACCCATCACCATCCGCAAGGAGCAACGGGCAGAGTATTATCATGTCTTAGAAGTGGCCAACGAGGGCGATGTGAGGCCTTTCATACGCTTTATAGCTAAGTGCACTGAGACAACGCTGGACATGTTGCTCATTGCCACCACGGAGTACTCTGTGGGCTTACCTGAAGCTGATGGCAGCAGTGGTGGATGCAAACAAACCATCCCTGTCAAGACCTGAAGGTTGTGGGCGTTGAGAAGGCAGGGAATACATGGGTGAACAGGAAGCCATGCTGCTCAGAATTTCTGCTGGGAAGAGACTTGACAGGAGGTGTCACTCTTTAGCATTTCATTTATTTAAAGCCTGTTACATTTGGTTAAGTTAATATAATTTATTTGCATATATTATGCCAAGCTAAATTGTTGATGTTGACTGTGTGCTGTAACTCGCCTGTGCTACAGTAAGAGGCAGGGAAAAACATCAGAGGGGCTGAACAAACTGAAGTAGAAATCATTTCATTTTTCCATAAAATTAAGCATTCAGAAGCTGCTTCCATCACAGCCCTACCCTAAGTCAGCAGCCTTGTCCTACCTTGTCATGGAGCTGCTAGGTGGGACAAAGCCTTAAAAGAGTTGTTGCTCTCATACTACCCCCTTCGTTCTTGTTCAGAACCCAAAGCCTTTGCAGTAACAGCATGCTCCCAGCTGCATTAGGCTGGCTTTCTCCTTCACAATGACACATTCAGCCAGAAAAGATGAAGAAGAAGGCTAGCTGCAGGGTGGCAGTCACATTTCTCCCCTTCTGTTTCTGCTTTCAGTAGCACTCTGCATATTTACTTTCAGTTGCCTTTCCTAGGGTAATGTATGTGAAACAAATGGGAAGTGTTTGGTTTCTGATCACAGCCCATGTGACTGGAACAAGACAAGAAATGCTCTCTGACTTGTTTCACGGAACAGCAAGGTGCTCTTGGTATGTCTTCACCAGGACAATTTTGTGCTGAGACCCTGCTTCACGTTGCCTCCCCAGAAGGCAGGTCCCCTGGGAAACTGCAGCTGTCTGCAGGTTTCTGTTCAGGCTTGAAAAGAGCTTGTTTCTGTAAGCTGCAGGCAGAAAAGGTCATTCCACATAGCCACAAGACTGCCTTTATCTGCTGGGCTGTTTTGGTAAGAATTCATATAGTGAGTTTGCCAAAAACTTAAGTTTCCTTCATCTACACAAGAGAGCTTTTCATGATAGGTTTATTAACTACCAAATCCTGTTATTCCTGTGATAAATGCATAAAGAACCACCTAAGGCCTCTCCCTCCTGCAGTCTCAGTTTGCACAGCACCTGGAAGCTGCCGCCCAAGTCCAAGTGTTTTTAAGGTAAAAGCAGTTGCAGTTAAACATTGAAAGGAGTTGCTCCCTACACCACACCTGCCAGCTGTATAAGTGCATAATTCCAGGTATCATCGATCCCAACACCTTCAAGCTCAGAAGACATGGAAGGAATGAATTCCTGTACTGTCCCAGGCCTATTTCTCTCCCCTCTAGCTCTCTTACCTGCAAGGTAATTAGGATACGTTTCATACAGCAAACAGACAACAAACCAAGACCAGGAATTACCTGTATACTGTAGCACCAGCCTCTCCTCACGTATTATTGCTGACAGGGAATGTGAACAAGTGTTCTATTTTTACAAAGCATGCTTATTTTTGTAGTGCAATGTGAGTATAAAAGTATTCTGCACTTTAGAGCTCTGGAAAAAAAAAAGACGTTCATTTTAATAACAGATTAATAAAGTATTTTAATATTAAGTCTGCAGTAAAATCAGAACTGCTCACAGCTCAGTTCCTGGAGTAGCAAGTTTTACAGCAAGTCCAACGTTAGCAATCCAAGGAAACTCCATTAATCGCTCCTGCTTTGTGCCTGCCTGACATCAGGGTGAGGTAAGCATCTGGAAATACCAGCCCCCACATTAAAGCTCCATATTAGATTGTTATTATATGCCACAAAGCAGATTGAGATCTCATGTTGCTGCTTCATACTGAGTGGTCAGCCCAAGCTCGTAGCACAGAAGCAAATGCACACTGTACTACAAACAAGCTCCACAGGAGGATTCAGGCCCTTGCTCTGTTACCCACACAACTGTTTTACACAGCAAAAACCTACAAAGCAAACCAAGTAAAGCCAAGTCAAACAAGCACAGAAAGTAAGCACTGAAAATAGTGTTTATTTGCAGCAGTGCTTATGTTGTACAAGTGAACTCGGTGCTGCTCTCCCCCTCACATTCAAACCCCCCCACGTGCTGACTTCCAGTTAGCAGCATTTTTAGATAAGCAGTAATATTTCTATCCAAGACCATGTACCAGGTTATTTTCAAGTCTGAGGTGATTACTGAAGTGGTTTCAAGATACTCATACTAAATGGAATGAACTACTTAAAGGTATGCAAGTGACACTGTATCTCAGCGCACCTGAGAGGTGAGGTACATCAGTATTAACTAGCTGCCATAGGATAAGTGCAATTCCAACACCCACATTTCAACAAAAGCAACGGTATTTATAGAAAACCTTTGAGAACTTGAGTTTAATAAACTGTGAAACTTCAGCGTGCACTTCACATTTGTACAAAACCATACAGAAACCACCTGCAAAAGATAGATGAACTAGCTAGCAAAAAAAAACTAACAAAAAAATGGTCCTCAGCAAGAGCATGTACAGCTTTCATGGGGAAAAAATACCAGGTCTAAGTATTATCTCATGACACTTAAAAATAATCTGAATGTCTTTTACAAATACACAATATAAAAAACGGGTCAACTTGAACAGAACATTAACTGAATACACATATATGTATATTGTGTATATACATATACACAGAAATGTATAGAAACTCTCCCAATACTAAAATAGGCCATTGTGGTGAAGTTACTAGCATTTGCCATCTAACTCTTAATGGAAGGAGATCAAGGTGTGAACATGTTTCGGTGTAAAACGGGTCTGTCGTCAGAGAGAATGACTGCAATCACAATCTGAGCTTCTGACCAGTGGATCTCAGCCAGGTTGTGGCCAGGCCTTCACATGGCATCTCATTCTTTAATGAAAGAGAAATATCTGTAAAGTATTCAGAAAACGGTGTGGCATCCAACCTGTACAGGAAATGTTTCCCCCTCATTACCCTCAATATGAGGAATCACATAACGCCATTTTACCAGAACGTAGTATAACTCTTTGCTCTTAAAAAACAGAGGAAAGTGGATTTGTTCCATCCTACACTGATCTTAATGAATGCAGTAGTCCAGAACAGTATTTACATGTGATTGTGACTGGCGTTCTCTCCTTGCTAGCATAAGGACACAACATGGCTTCCATAAAGGCATTTCACATTTTACCAGCTCAGCTGATTGCTGACCATTTGCTCACTTGTTCAGCAGCATCTTGGCAAAATCAGCGTTGGACATCTTTTTAGGCTCCTCAGTGCTTTCAGACGAAGTTGCTGGTGAATTCTGGACCATCCCATTCTCAGCCTTAGCCACAGGATTACTCTGGCGTTGCAATGCTCGAGGCATCATGGAAAGCTGTGTCCTTCCCTTCCCTCGCCTGGAAAGCAAAAAACTGCACTTAAAAACATCCTCATGCTCTGTGAACGTACTGTTTTAGCCTAGAGAAACAGAAAGGGCTTTGTTTGATCCAGAGAACACTCCTTAAGTATTATTCTTGCCATTTGTTTCAGTAGTAAGCAGTGCAAAGCTTACAGTGGATGCCCTTTGAAACAGCATTCCTAAACACTGACAGAAAAAAATGCCCAGCAGTTTCCAGAAGCTGAAGCTCCATGGTTTATCTACAGGGTAAAAGTAATTGCAAGCAGCAAGAGCACTTGGGAGGAAGAAAGAGCAGCCTCAGAACTCATTGTGAACAGACTTTGGAACTCTTTGAAACAAGAGGCTGTGGAAGTTCAAAGGGCTCAGGTACGAACACCAGACCACAGGACGTCCAAACTCTTGGTCACTACAGACCTATTTCTATTGCTGATGTAAAGAAGAAAAGTCTACTTCTCCATCAATTAATCATCATTATTATTTAGTACCTTGTTCCCTCACATTCCAGAGGGAACTCCTACATTTTTGCCTACAAAGCAACCCAACGTTTGCTTTCAAGCACCCCCAAGCTGTCTCCCTTGCCAGCACTCACGCTCCATAAATCTGCCGTGGCACTGCAAACTGGGAGGCTCTGCCTGCCTCAGCCTTGTCTGGCAGCTTTCGGAGAGGTGGGTTACTGATTGCCACCTTGATGACGTGTTCCTTAATTGTCAGACCATCCATTTTCAGCACGGCTTGCGAGGCCTGGGCTTCGTTTTCAAATTCCACATAGGCCAGGCCCTAAATAAGGAAAAAGGTAACCCATGTTAGTTTTAGTGCTTCTTCCTCTGTGTGACTGCTGGAAAACACCATACAGAAAGTGGAACTAAACACGGCCACAAATCCCAGTATTCTTTAAGATTAACTAAAGAGAAGTTCTTACCTATGCAAATCTATAACCTGCATTCTTTCTTCACATATAATTTGTGGAAAAGGTATTTAAAAACAAGATCCCAATAAAACGTACAAAGTATTGCCTCAGCAACAAGGCTTTACTTCTAAATATACACCATACATATATCCAGGATAGATCTGATATCAGATAGGTTTCCATTCACAGGGGGTGAAAACACCACATGAATCCATGCAGCTAGAACAGAAAGATCCATGAGAACTCTTCTGTGATTTTCCATTACACTACAGTTTGCATCTATGGAAGGAAGACCACTAACATAGGCCCACCTTAGTTTCATGGGGAGTACAACCCACCCCAAGCAGCAATACCAACACAAAGGCACTGCTTTTAAGTGACTGGAATCGCTGCCTCCAAAACAGAGACTGATGACAAAAGCCTTCTTTGCAGGAAATGAATCTGTGTCGCTTTCACAAGGTAACAGCTGCTAACCACCTGCTGCTGGTACACCTTGAGTAATGGTGTCTTGTTTCCAGCAGAGCAAAGGAAAAGGCCCCACTTGGCATCTGCTGTGCCAGGCTGCTACCAGGGAGTGCACTATAGCTGGGAGGCATCACCTCCCAGTTCTCTTATTGCTGTTCTGAAGTTCCACTCAAACCCTTATGCTGTGTTTTTGGATTAGCCAGCTTCACAGGGCTGGAAATACACCAGGATTCATACAGCATTCAGTTCTAGAGTATTTGTTTGCGGTTTAAATAAAATCACAGCTCTCACAGCAGAGAACATGGACTACACAGGGCTTGGGACACCAAAAGAGAACTCTTTAGAAGATACACACCAACAGCAACTGTCCTTCAAATATTAAGTTAAAAAGAAGTTAAAAATCCAATTTAAAATGCATACACATCACCACCAGGATGGCACCTGTTGGAAGCGCCCGACATCCAGACAGGGCAGAGCTTTCAGGTGGAATTTTGGCAGAACAGCCACTGGTTTAGTTCTTAGTTAACAAACACCCATTTATTCCAGCATGGAAATAACACCTGTCAGAAAGGTGTCTCATTTCTCACTGGCAAATCCATCATTGCAGCAGGTGCTCTGAACAATAGCATCAAGAAACTGAAGATAGAGGAGGAAGGGAATCAGTTACAACAAGTGAACTCTATCCAGTCAGTGACTTCAGAAACAAAGGTTCTTTGCAGGTTCACTAATGCCTCTTTCTTATTAAACTGAAAATGCTGTAGATAATCTTCCCCCCTCCCCATTTACATCACACACTTTTCTTAAGCAACCGAATAAGCATTTCAGAAAAAAAATCTCATTGTCCTCCTTTTCTTATCTGTTGGCATAAAACCACATGTTGTATAAAGGTTGACCACAATAATTATTCAAGGCATTAGCATTAAGCTGTAAGACCTACTTTTTGTACCCAGATCTTATGAAAAGTTTCTTTTTGAAGGATTTCATTGAAATTAAGAGTGCATTAATGATGCCTACCTTGGGTTTTCCAGCTCGGTTGGTGACCAGCCTAATGTCTTTCACATTCCCATGGGCTTTACATATATCTTCCAGCTCCTCCTTAGTGCAGGAAAATGGCAGACCAGATATAAAGAGCTTGTGTTTCTCCAGTGTAGTACTATACCTGAACACCTGAAGAAATTAAAAGGCTGTTAGTGCTCAAATCAGTTAGAAACAAAGGGAATTTCAACCTATTATAAAATACTCAGGCATTTGAGGTTATATTTCTGTGATTAAAAATAACAACAACCCACTAAAGACACGAGCAGCACCTAGACAGATTGACAGTGGTGCTCACTTAGGAAGCTGGTACATGGTACATCACACCATTAAGGTGCTCAGATTATTCAAAGATCCACAGGAATCTGTTAACATTAATTCTAGTTTATGGCAACATCACACAGTATAGAAGAACTCCTAGAAAATGCTGAGACATTACCATTCCCAATTAATACAAGACGAATTCACCAGATGCAGGCAGTCTGAAAGCAGAACATTCTGCTAGCTTTCCAATGCACTCCCACTATTCAATTTATTCCTTATTCCAACATATTCAACATACTATGGAAAGAATGAAAGCTTACCTTAAAGTCTGGATTCTTGTTCTTGTCAACACAAGGAGAAACAAACATGGGTCTTCCCTCCACGACTTTACGATCCAGCCCAAGAGCCTGCAGAGCAGACTTCTCGTCCTTGAACTCCACATAGCAGTAGCCCCGGAAAGTCCCCTTGTTGCTGAAAACTGGACGGATTTGAGCAACCTCCCCACAGCTCTCAAAGAGCTCTTTCAGTTTTACTTCAGGATCTGTCATGTTGTAGGAAAGGTTGCTGACGAAGACGGTGATGTTGTCTTTGCTGCTGTCATGCAGAACTTTTGGGACGTCTTTTCGGCTGGTGGATGGCTTTTCCTTCTGGTTTGTGGAGTGATCTGGTTTCTCAGGTCCACTTCTTCCAAACAGCCCAGTTTCCAGCTCCATGTCTTCTTCAAGAAGCAAACCATCACCATCTCCCTTATGTCTCTTGCTGGGTTGCTCTGCAGATGAATGGAATTGAAAGACTTAACAGAGAAGTTAACACCATTTCACTTCCCACTCAAATTAGTTTGTCCTCCATCACCAACGTGGAATCTGCAAATAGCAAATATGAATGAAATCAAGAACACAATGACAGATCCCACAGACAAAACAGAAACTTCCCTCTGGTTCTTATTGATAGTTGATTACTTGCCCAAGACAGCAAGGACTTAAATGGAAGCACCAATGATACTTTATTTTCCCATCAGCTACAACTACTGACTCATGTTCTAGGAGGTTCTTTATTAAAAAAATTAAATATCTTAAAATCTTCTTATCACCTTCCAAAAGACTGCTACACAACCGAGCAACCCAATTTAGCCTGATGACTCTGCATCATTTGATGAGTTGAATCATTAAAAAAAATAAAAAACAACACATTATTCATCTGAAGTAATAAAGATCTTTTAAAATCCATAATAGTTTTTTTTTAAACATTCACTTCTGGCCAAAAAAACATTTAGCCTTGCTTTCACTTCATAACGTAATGAAGATTTCCTTGGAAAAAGAGCACCTGAAAACACAGCACCTCTAAGGGCAGTGATGGCACCTCCCCATCTGCCTTTAACTGCAGGCAGACACCTGTGACCAAAAGATTGAAACTCTTTTTTCTTTATTTTCTTTTTTACCTTCTTCCTCTTCTTGTCCCCATTCACCCTCATCATCATCATCTGCTTTGCGCTTTTCTCCAATCCTATTTTTCTTCGCCTTTTTGGAAGCTTTCTTTTCTGCTCGAGATTGTTTTCGTTGCTCAGCTTTCTCCTCCTCCTGCCTTGCCAGAGCAGCTTCTTTCTCAGCAGCCTAAAAACATGCAAGATTTTTTTAGGTGACTGCAGACTGCAGAACATTCTCATATGCTGTTTTTTTCTTTGTTTTTTTTCTCCACTCAACTGGGAAGGTTTTCTCTGAAGCTTCATTACACAAACTAATAGGATCATCACTGAAAGCACATCTCAACTGTCTGCTCTTATAGCTTTCCTGGTGTGCTCATGTTATTTGTGTATTCATCCGAGTGCCAAAAGGTGAAATAAAAAAAACAGCATCAACAATAAATTAATCACTCTTTAAAATGAAAGTCAATACTTCTGAAGCTTTAAGACAATTTGGGCTTATCTACATGAACCAACGTTAGAAATCTGACATTCATGGCTCATCAGCAGATATTTCCAATAAACTGCTTATACAGTTCACAAAGCTCTGACCTTTGCTCTCTGTTCATTAACACGAGCTAATCTGTTTTCTGTTTTCTGAACAGCTGCATCCCAGTCTTCCAATGTTCCTAAAAGATTTAAAAAAAAAAAAAAGCCTTGTATTCAGCCTTACAATAAATTGCAAACACAATTCTAGAAAAATAAGAATCACCGAGTTCTGTCATTATTCACAGAATCACAGAATCACCCGGGTTGGAAGGGACCTCAAGGATCATGTAGTTCCAACCCCCCTGCCTAGCAGGGCCACCAAACACACACATTCAGATCAGGTTGCCCAGGACCCTGTCCAACCTGGCCTTAAACACATCCAAGGACGGGGCATCCACAACCTCCCTGGGCAGCCCGTTCCAGGGCCTAACCACTCTCCTTGTATAGAACTTCCCCCTAACATCCAACCTAAATCTTCCCTCCTTCAACTTGGATCCATACATATTCATGACAATTCTAAATATAATAAATATAAATGAACAGCCTACAAAGAAAACAACACCTAATCAGAGCAGAAACCCCCCATTTGTCATATAACACTTCAGAAATGCATGGAAAAATCCAACCAATTTCAGCTGGCTCTCAATCGGTCCAGAGAAGGGAAAGAAGTTTTCTGTCTGTCTGTCTGTCCACTGACTACACTGTAAAATGAAATGATGTGCAGTTTGTTACCTTCTATCCTTTCCAGTGTGAGCAGCACCTCGCAGACATGCTCTGGATAGTCACTTGTGCACTGCACTGCTCGATGCAAGGCCTTCCTGCAGTGCTGGGTGTCACCATGAGCTCTACAGTGTAGAAAACACAGCAGTAAGGAGCCAATCCTCAACATGGTGACTGCAAAGCAGGACTGTTAACTACATTCTATGCAAATCCTCCCCCTCCATCACCAGCTAGCTCACGCTACGCTTTGTTGCAATGTTTCTAAACTATACTTCATAGACCTTCTCTGATAACCTCAAAAGCACACCATAAACCCTTATGAAGAACACCTTTGCTGAGCAAACCAGACTTCTCTCAAACAGACGAGCAAATTAAGAAAAGGTTATACACACACAAACACACACAACTCCCTTCAGCCAAGCTCTCACCTTTCCAGGTTATAATATTCCAGCCACATGTTAGCATACTTGGCATTCCCTTTAGTCATAATGTTGTCCCAGAGCTCTCTGGCCTTCTGCATGTTATTACATAAGCGGGCCTGAAAATCAGAACTCAACATGTTCAGTACAGTTCAGGACTATTTGTTAAGCACCACATCCCTCCCTGCCATCCCCATCATCTCCTCACCAAACCAACCAAAGAACAAAGAACCCCAAGAAACCCCAAAAACCCATAAACATAAAAAGTCAACCCACCTAACTAAGCACACAAACCCAGCAAACAGAATTAAACACCTGAGATCATTCTGTCACTGAGTAACACCCCCTGTGCCCACCTGCTGTATCAGTCTCAGTTTCTGGATCTCACATATAACTTCATTTTGATCACTGTTTCTGAACTTTTCCTTCTGTCTTTATTCATTCTTGTTCCTAATACAGCACACTGATACCAGTACTAGTTTGAAACTAGCTTGTGTAGGCAGCACTAAATTAAGGAGAATTCAAGGCAATTTCCCAGAGTGAAGTATTCAGCTCCAAAGCACCATGGCTAGTCTGCTGATCAAGGTACTTGCATGTCTGTACTGCAGCACAGCCACAGCAGCAGAGACATTCTAAAAGCCCTGGTGATTTTCTCTAACAGACTGCTGTCCTCTCCAGGACATCCTGCCTCAAACCAGATGCTACATTATGTGCAGGAATGGTAAAAGAAAGATTTACTCACTGAAGTTACAGAGACAAAATGAAAAGTACAAGAAGATTGCCTGCAATAGCTGGAATGCTTAAAGAGAAATTCCCTCTGGTCTAGCAATTAAAATAGAAAAGATAAAAGCATCACCTCAACCCTTGCCCAGTTCTGCATGATAGTACAGGATGGATCTCCACTTTCACTGAAGCCTGGGAAGAAAAACACTGTTTGTGAATGGCTTTTGGGAAAATTATTCTGAACAAAGCAGGTGAAACATTGCATGACTGAACTTACGCTCTTCTACTTCTTGTTTCAAATACTCCACAGCACGGGCAAACGCCGATCGCAGCTCTTCAAGTTCTTTACTGGAGTCTGTAGAGAAGAGAAAGAAATGCCTTACTGTTACCATTTTCATTTCTCATCCCCTAAAGCCTCTTCACCAACACCCATGTATGACTTTATTTTGGCAGGAAACAAAACAGGTCCAACTCACTACTTCAGTAAAACTCAAACAGCAACAAAATTTAACACAAGCAACAAAGCCCATCAAGTAGCTAAAATATAAATCAGGGCCTTTTTGTGACAGCACGATCTATTCTTTCAGCAAGGAACTGCTCTAAAATAGTTGATCTTATAGACAATAACTGGGGGGAGAAAGAAGTTTTTGTGAGAGATACAAAGCTTGTGTTTTTCTGTATGCTTGTTTTTAATAGCAGTTCTGTGCATCCAAAATAGTGGCAGTAAACAAATGTATATTCAAACATATTGTACATACCTTGTGTGAAATCCACCCTTCTTCTCAGGTAGTCAAGATATGCCTGCCAGATTTCTACATAATCTGTTGCCTGAATAAAGCCTGCGTTCAGAGCCTTTTCAAACATGTCTGAAAGAAATGGAGGGAAAAAACCCACATAAACATGTATTTCCTTTTCCATTGTATTTCAAAGTATAGGACAAAGAAAATACAAGAAGTCCTGCACACAGTGAATTAGTTAAGAAATTCAATGTAAAGCCAGTTTAATTCAGCAGTGTTCAAGCAAAGCTTGAAATGAAGCACTTGCTCAGAAGTGAAGCTGCTCAACCAACACAGCTGTGCCTCAGAAGCACACTACTGTAAACTTCATCATTTTTAAGACTGCTACAGAAGGGTTGCAATGAATTCTACAGGTCACACATCATTTGGAGCACAGCAAGCAGTTCTGCACTGTAAAGAAATTCGGTTGAGATCATCTTTCCTTACCAGAAATAATGCAGTGATCAACTCCATGCCTCTCCATTGCCAAAAGATACTGAATCCAGAGCCCAACGGTCCAAGGACAGTTCCTGACAGCACGGTCATGGGCAGACAAAACCAACTCTTTCACTTTCAGCTGCCGGTCCTGAGATAATCACACACCAAAGTTTTAAGCTCCTATGAGCTAAAAAGCCCACCCAAGATAAATATCAGCTTAAAAAACTAAAACCTTAAAAATACATATTTTATATTTGAAAGTTTAAAGACAGGATTGGTATTTTAGATTCTATATACACATAAGAACTCAGTGAATGCCCTCAAAACAGAAAGGAGGAGCAGAACAAACAATAACTCTGTGCCATGTTAAGGCTGGGGAAGACATAAACAAAAACCCACAAGGAAAATAAAACCTCAAGATTTTTTTTTCCTTCCTTACCAAATACTGATTGTAGCGTGCCCACAGGTCAGGTACAAGGCAGTTCTCAGCCAAAGCTCTCTCGTAGATCAACTGAATGCGAGCTGGATCACCAGCTTTCATTTCAAAATCAATGTAAGCTTGGTATTCTGCCAGCTTCGGTGTCTCAGCACCCAGCTATAGGACATGAAAAATAAAAACCTTCTAAACAAAGCATGATTCAAACAGCTCAACTGACTCAGTAGGTCCTGCACAATATTTCAAACCTGAACTCGGCCTCTAAATATCAACAGCTCCACCAGTTTTAGTGCTGGGAATTACACTCCAGCTTTTAATTTAATTCTTAATTTTAAAGGAAGGTGTAAGCAACAACGTTACCAGTGCCTCTTCATATGGTTTACACTTCTCCAACTGCTGTAGAGCTTTTTTGTAGCTCTTTATTGTTGTTTCTGGTACCGGATCTTCGGACCACTCCTCATACTCAGCATATGAAGCCTCCATATCTGTTAAAACAGACACAAAATCCCATCACTAATTCACTCAACAGACTAAATAATCATAATTCAACCTCTGCTCGATTCTAATGTGTTCGTGTTTCTGTTTATAGTTTTATACCTTAACTGTCAGATTACCACAATTAAAGGGTTCAGACACTTTCAGCTTATAGGTGTAATGTGAACAAAAACTTAGAACAAGTTGCTCAAAATCATTAGCTTTTACTTTACAAAACCAAAGTTGCAAGATTTTCCCAGGGCTTTACAGAAGAAACAAACCTAGATTCTTTCAATGGGCAAATAAAGAAGTTTAAGACCTACACCACCTTTCTCCTGTATGCAGACAAAGCAGCAAGAAAGGGACTTGAAGAGTTTAAAGTATGAAACTGATACAGGAGGACTATCAATCAGCTGTCAGCATGTATCATTTACCTGTCAGCCAATGTTCTTACACAGTGAGCTTCTCAGCTGAATTCCTAGCTCCTAAGGGTCATGCTTTGTGCTAATTGTACTTTAAACAGCCTGAATGACCTCAAACCACACACCATGGAAACACATAAACGAACAAACAGGAAACATGCATCATTCAGGGGGCCCCAAAGACAGGCAAACGCAACTGATTCATGAACACCCAAATACCCCAGCTGCAATCTGTGTGGCTCTACTAAAAGAATAATCACAATCAATGCCTACTTTGCCATAATACAGTTTCTCCATGCCAGCTCCCCAAGCACACAGGCTCTCACCTAACAGTGGGATCCCCAGCTGGCGCCTGAACAGCGTGTGGATCCTCTCAAGCTGGCTGCAGAGCATCTGCTGCTGCTCAGGCGACGGAACGCTGCCAGGAGCTGGCTGCAAACAAAAGGATTGAAACCGAATCAGCTCCCTCAAGCCTGAGCTGATGGACATGAAGGGGGATTGCTTATGGGTTGGGGATCTGGGCTCCAAATGACTACTACACGATCCTTGAAGGACACACAAGGCCAACTTGCTGCTGCGAAAGGTAAAACTTGGAAACTGCTAGAGACAGAAGCTGATGAAAGTACAAAGCATCCCCCAGTGAAGGCAGACACAGTGGGAAATGATAACCTGGAGAACAACAGATCATGCCAGTTCACAAACCTACAGATAGGTTTTCAATAAATCCCTGGTGCTTGCAGAGATGATTTAAGACTCCAGATTCTTTTTACAAGCAGAAGAGTATTCTGCCATTACTCTTCTGCTTGGACATTTCATTACTGATCAACTTCCACATCTTATGTAGCAAGCTACAAGGAAACAGAAATATTCACATTCTGGTCATCTACCAAAGTCTGGCGTTTCGAAAAGAGTGAAACAGTGAATAAATTCAACACTGAGGTGCAAGGCAGCCTAGAAACACAAACATGATTGATTATGGGCAAAAGCATTCACTGGAAAGAATAATAATGCTTAATAATGAAGATACAGCCGAAAAGAAACAAGTGAGTGACACCACAGCCTCTTTTCTCCCAGGAGGCTGATGACGGAGCAGCGCAAGACTTCAGAAGCTCCACCACAACTTCTTACTGACAGCAGCCCACCAGACCAGCCTTACCTGTGCTGTCTCCAGGATGGCATTCTCAAACTCACGGTAAGCTTCCCACAGAGCTGTTCCTTTTGTCACGTGCAGCCCCACTGCTGTCAATGCTCTCTCAAATATTGAGCGAACTTTCTCAATTCCCCCTTCCTGACCAATGCCACCGATTGAATACTGGGCATATTCCAGCCAAATTTCAGGACCTAAACAAAGTTATGAGAAACAGGTGAGCTAACGTCCTCGAAAATAAAAAGGCATCTCAAATACTTATCAAAGACATAACTGTTTTCTTTGCTATTCAGTGTAGTAGACCTTTAAATGGTTTTCAACTCCCATGCTTCAGGAAAAAAAACCACTCCATTTGATCCCATTTCTGCATTACAACATAATGAAAAAGCTTTCCTCAAAAAAGAAAATCATAACCTGAAGGCAGCAAATTTTATAGCACATATTAACATGTATTAAAAACTTACAGATGTAGTCTTTCACAGCTCTCTCAAACAGCTCATAAACTTTCTCTCGCTCTGAGATTTCAGAAGCCATTTTTATCTCATCCTTCAACCAATCCAGCCAAATTTCTGAAACCAAGAAGTTTACAAATCACCAATGCTTGGAAAAAAAACCACAAACAAACCAAAAAAGCCCTCATTTTCAATGTTCTTTTTACATTTTCGGTTAGTTTTTAATGACAGTCTTAAAAATGGGAACAAACACAATGGGAAGAGCAATTTTAAGTCCCCGCATCTACGCACAATTAATTTAAATGAAAATGTTGGTACTGATCTCTGGTGATCTCCATCATCACACTGATGATGCTTATTCAGTATCAGCTGCAAGGAGAAGCAGCTCTGTACCTTCAGTAAGTGGGAAGAGTTCACTCATCTTCTGCCGAGCTCTTCTGAGCTTCACCAGCTCTCCCTCCTGGCGAAGCAGCTTTATCAGATCCAAGTGGCAGTTGTAGTCAAAAGCATTGATGGAAAGCTTTAAAAAATAAACAAACTGTTTTGAAGGCACGCAGAAGTCAGAGAATATTTAGCAGAGCAGAACTTCACACTTTGTTTTGTGGCATGCAAATCCCCTCACCAGTTCATAGCATCAATAAGGCTGGAAAAGATCAGTATAATCACCAAACCCCATCCCAGCTCCCCCCCACCACACCCACTAACCATATCTCCAAGTGTCACATCTCCATGTTCTTGAACCTCTCCAGGGATGGTGATCCCACACCTCCCTGGGCAGCCTGTCTCAATGCCTGACTGCTCTTTCAGAGAAGCAATCTTTCCTAATACTCAACCAGAACCTCCCCTGGCACAACTTAAGGCCTCACCTCTTGTCCCATCACTGTTACTTGGGTGAAGAACCAATCCTCACTGTGCTACAACCTCTTTTCAGGGGGTTGTGGAGAGCCATCAGGTCTCCTCTGAGCATCCCTAGCTCCAGACTAAGCAATCCCAGCTCTTTCAGCCTCTCCCTAGAGAACTTGTACTCCAGATCTGCTTCACAGCTCTGCTGCCATTCTTTGTACACGCTCCAGGGCCTCAATGCCTTTCTTTTAGCAAGTGACCCAGAACTGAACACAGCACTTGAGGTGCTTGGCCCTCACCAGGAGCAAGTACAGAGGGACAATCACCTCAGTGCTCAGTTACACAGAATCACAAAATTGTAGGGGTCAGAAAAGACCTCTAAGGATCCCTCAATCCAACCACTCCATAGCAGGTCACATAAGAAAGCATCCTGGTGGATTTTGAGCATCTTTAGGGAAAGAGACTGCACCACCTCCCTGGGCAGATCATGTCAGGGCTCTGTCAACTTCACAGTGAAGAAGTTCTTTCTCATGCTCAGATGGAACTTCCTGGGTTCCAGTTTGCGCCCACTGCCCCTCGTCCTGTCGCTAGGCATGGCTGAGAAGAGCCCGGCCCCATCCTCCCGACTCCCACTCTGACAAGTACTGCTCCCTCAGCCTTCCCTTCCGCAGGAAGGGCAGCCCCAGGGCTCATTGGAGAGAAGCTGCAGGCCCCGACCACCGCTGCAGCCCTCCCTATGAGATCCCTTTTATAAAAGCTGAGCTTTAAAGTTCCGCACAAAGCTGAACTCACAGCCCCAAGAGCCCCGGGTGCAGACAGCGCTGAGCAACACCCACAGAGCCCTCCTCAGCAAACGCGTTGTAATTCCTTCAAAAATCAAGAAAGAAGCCACCATCGCAGTTTATTTTCAACATGTAAGAGCTGCTCACTGAGCCTCTCTCGCCCTCGAGCGAGAAATAAAATCAAATTAAAAGGGACAGCTCGCACTGCCGGCGCCCAAAGGTGACCGCATCACCTCCGGAGGCGTTTCCAGGGCTTCACGACCAAAGCGGGACACGGCCGGGCCCCACCTGCTCCTCCAGTCGTTGGATCTCCGCCTCGTTCTCCTTCTCCTCATCCTCGCCGTCGCCCGACGAATCCGAGTCGCCCTCGTCCTCCGAATCGCCCCCCGACTCGGGGTCGCCCTCTGCCATGCGCTTCTCCTCCTCCGCCGCCGCCGCCGCCTCGGCTCCCGCCGCCGCCATCTTGTTGCAGCTCGCCTCGCCGCCGGCCGCGCTCCGCCAGCCGCCGGGGTTGGCCACAGCGCGCCTGTCCCAATACTGCACGCTCCCCACAGCCAAGAGAGGTGAGAAGAAGGAAGAGAAATTCTCTCGGCGAGGTTCCGCTCTTTTGCGCGCCCCGCAGCCACAGAGAGCCGAGCAGCTCCGCGCGCTGCCCCTTGTAGTCTCGTCGGCGGCGCAGGCGGCGCCGCGGACACCTCGGGGCCTTGGCCGGCTGAGGTCCTTAGGAAGGAGGGGATGTGCGCCGCTGCCAGGTGCGGGCAGACGCAAGATGGCGGCGCTGAGGGCGGCGGGGGCGGCGCTGCTGCGGCCCGGGCGGGGGGCGGCGGCGGGGGTGGGCTACCATAAGAAGGTGAGGGGCGGCGGGGAGGGCTGTGAGGAGCCGATAGCGGCTTCTGGGGACTGTCAGTGATGCGTTCATCTCGCAGGTGGTGGATCACTACGAGAACCCGCGCAACGTGGGCTCTCTCGATCGCAACGCAAAGAACGTGGGTACGGGCCTGGTGGGCGCCCCGGCCTGCGGCGACGTCATGAAGCTGCAGGTGAGGGGAGCCTGGGGTCCCGCTGCGAGGCCCCAACTTGCAGCTGTCTCCCATCCTATGGCTGTGACATAGATTTCCCCGTTATGCCCCCTCCGACCCTGAAGTCCCTCCGGAGGATCTAAAATCCAAAGACCCCCAGCCCTAAAATCACTCTCCTATCCCTGGCCCTGTGTGGGTGGTTCCTGTGCTTTGTGGAGCTGAGCACCCCTCTGATGTTCTCACAGGTGGAAGTGGATGAGAATGGCCGCATCGTTGATGCTCGCTTCAAAACCTTTGGCTGTGGCTCTGCCATCGCCTCCAGCTCGCTGGCAACAGAGTGGGTGAAAGGGAAAACGGTAAGGGCTTGGCTTGAGAGCTACGGTGAGGAGCAGTTACATATTCACACCTACCTCTGGGATCAGGGAATGAAATGGGTCTAAGGAGGTGCACTCCAAGTGTTAGGTACACATAGAAGCTCAGAATGCAGTTTAATCTTTTCTGGCCTAATTTCTGAAGTAGCATTTGCCTTTTCAGGGAACCCCCAGTAAGCTGTGAAGAAGCTTTCTGTGCTATACAACAATAAAAAAAATAGGTAGTGAGCACTGATTCTGAAAGCACTTGTATAGTGGAATGTCTTTTGATGACCTCCATGTTTTGGGCATTTTGACAAGCAGAATGCTTCTGTATTACAATGGAAGGTAAACAGACCCAGAGCAATCAGTGATAGTAGTATGCTTTGGTTTATTAACCACCACTGCTTGCTCTGAGACGTTCCTTACATTTCACAGAATCATAGAGGTTGAAAGGGACCTCTGAGTATCATCTAGTTTAACTCCCCTGCTAAGGGAGGTTCCCTACAGTAGGTTGCAGATTTGCTGCTTGGGAGGAGCAGAATAAAAAGCAGAAAAATAAAAAGGTATTGTCAAAAGGCTTTTCTCATGGTAGAACACCATCAGCATCCTTTACTGCCTTCTCACAGTGTCAGTCTGGTTGGTTCCAGAGCCTTGAAGCACACTGGCAGCAAATGCCTGTGTAGCGTGTGTGCATCATGTGTATGCAAAGTGACTGATGACTGTACCCTACCCATACATTTCAGGTTGATGAAGCATTGAAAATCAAGAACACGGATATTGCAAAAGAACTTTGCCTTCCTCCAGTCAAACTGCACTGCTCTAGTAAGTAAAGAATCAAACAAGTTTTTATTTGAGAGCACTGGTGCTTTTGTGCGTTTTCCAAATAAAGTTTCTGCACGCATAACAGCTAAGGCTGACCCACAGTGGTGGGTACTGCTGGCTGCTTCTGCTTGTACTGCATTCTTTGCTCTAAGTGACTTGTCATTGTTCTTGAAATGTCTGTAAATGACTGTCTTGTGAAAGACATTGTTTTATGCTTTTTTTTTTCCCCTCTAGTGCTGGCTGAGGATGCAATCAAGGCTGCCTTGGCTGACTACAAGTTGAAGCAGGATCCAAAGAAAGGAGAGTCTGAGCAGAAAGCAAACTAATTCATAAATGGACTGTAGAGGTTGTCTTCATTCCAGTTAAATTTGCAGTGCAATTATTCTAGCTTTTAATAGAATCCTGTGCACTACTCGAGAAGCTGTAAAATACGCACAACTGAACGCACAATGTGTCACTGCTCCTGTGTGTGTAGCCACCCTGGTAGTGCTTAAATGACTGGAATGTGGGTATTTCAGCAGCCTTTGTCCTGTTGGGACTGGTTTTGAAATGTCAGAAGTGAAGGACTGCTCCACTGCAGGGAACCCCAGTAGCTTCTCAAGAGAGAAAGAATCCTGCTGTTCCAGCATTGGAAGGGCTGCACTTTTTTCTTCTGGAAACGTATAGTTTTGCCTGATGTTTTACAGAGTTTGGTGGGAAACATTGCCTTGGTCTTGATGTAAGATCTGCAGGTCACTTTGTAAATCATTACAGTCTATAAGTTTTGGGTGGTTTGTCTGCAGCTGTGTTGGAGTTTGGTTTCACAATCTGTGACCTCTCACATGCTGTCTATCCGCTGCGTCATGCTGCTCTCTGGGAGGAGCTGGGATGCTTCAGCAGGCACTAGAGGGCACTGACTGTGTGACTGTGGGAGGTGAGCACATAGCAGCTGCGGTTTGGTGCTAGGAAGCACAGACCCAGCAGCGTTGGCAGGTCTTGTTTGTGCTCATATCCTCCAATAGCAGGAGAGCTAACGTTGGAGCATCTTTTAAAAGCATTCAAACCCTTCAATTTGCCAAATACCGTTAAAAGAGATTAAATACACGCTGAGGATTCAAACCCAGAATGCAAATAGCTTAACTGGGATGTAATACTGAGGGGAATCTCCCTGGAAGACGAGGAATCAGTCTGTAGTCTCTGGGGGTGTCTTCTGAACTTCCCCCATCCCCTCCAAAGCGGAGCTAGCAGTCAGTGTTCTTGTTACTAAGCCAGGGACAGAAGGAGATCCTTACCTGCTGCAGGAGCCGATTTTGGATGCTATTTCTGACAGCCTCTGTTGCCTTTAGTAGTTTTAGGGCTGGATTCTCTTCAGCTGTGGAAGGAAGTTCAAAAACACAGCCTGGCAGATCTGCACAGCTAAAGCTGCTTAAACTGCTTTGCTGGAGAGGTGGGTTGTGGAGAGAGCAAGGGTAATGCTCGCTAAGTGAAAGATTTGCACACCCACCACATGAGCCGGCTCCCTGGGAGCGTGGGGCACAGCATCATTTCAAAACAAGCGTTTTATGGCCACACAGCATGGCTTACCCTCTGTTCTTCAGGCCTCCATGCTCCCCTGTGCCTCACACTGATGGCTATTTTCCAAGGGAGCGTTGCCACAGATCTTCAAATCAAAAGATAACACTTGAAAAACCTCCCCTGCTCTTACAGATCTAAAACATCCTCACCCCACACCCCGCCCTATCTTCCTTTCCAGTTTTCATACCTATATGATGTTTCACAGCTGCATTAAAAACAATGAGTTTGAAAAATAAGTGGCTCGTTCTGGTTTCTGTCTGCAGCGCAACGATTTTTTCAGTGCCCTCATCTGCCCAGCAGGACACGTGTTCTTGCTGCTGTGGTTTGTGGTCCCTCAGCTCAGCACCACCCTGTGCCCATTCCTCCACATACTGCTGAGCTGCAGGCTGGACTCTGGCCCTTGGCGTTGCCCCTCCTGTAACAAGGAATGCACGTCGTTCCCTGGGAGCAACTGCATGGTTTGCCAGTCAAAAAAATAATAATAATAATCAGGGAAACTTCAGCCACCCCCCTGCACTTTGGGACAGAATGGGTTGGTTGTGCTCATAAAAGCCCCTCGGGCAAAGAGCAGGAGGGAGATAAAAAGCCAGCACTCACTTTGTGCTGGGAAGGCATCTGGATGGCCGCGTTCCCACTTGCGCTGTGGTTGTTGCAGGGATCTGGTGGGGCTCTGCTGACCTCTCCTCTGCCCCACAGAGCGCTGAGGAGTGAGGTTGGAATCTCAGCGGATTGCTGTCACGTCCCTGTTTGGGGGAATCCTTTGGTTTCCCTGCAAAATGCTGTCAGCTGGAGTAACGGGGATGCGTAAGTGTGGGGTTGCAGTGGTAGAAGGATACAGGATGTTGAGATACAAGTATAAAGGCAAACAGCAACGTGAGGGGTAAGGATAAGTGACAGCAGATATAGTTGCTTTAAACCCAAGAACAATAGTAGTTACAATCCAGCAATAAAAACAGAATTGCTTACCCCCTTCCCAAGAATCAGGGCTCATCAAACCTGATAATCTCCAGGTAGAGATGCTTCCTTTGTGGCTGCCAGCCCTTAAATGAGGTTAGGCAGGGGTGGACCCAGGGTTACACAGGTGAATTGCTTCCACCTGCGCTCCCAGGGCTGGCTACACCCCTTCACCAGGTGCTCAACCACTGGGTCAGCCCATGACCTAATGCTTCCCATACATGAGGATACAGGAATGTGCTGCCTTCCTGGTACAGCAGACTCTTGCCTTCCATCAGCTCTTCCTGATGCAGGACAAAGCAAAGTGACTGAATTCTCAAAGCAAACCAGGGTGAGATCAGGAAACAAGCCTGCGTACATCTCTCCAGAGAGGATCTCAGCCCAGAGCTCTGCACCCTGGCGAGGCAGCGCTGTGCCCTCCCCACTCGCACTGCTGTGTGACTCTAGATAACGGTTTCTGAGAATTGCATGCAGATTGTGCAAGTGATAACGACGTCCCCTGGCTCTGAGGGTGTCACCAGCAGCAAGCACGCAGCTGTAGGGAGCATAACTCTGGGAAGGATGCTGTTACAGTTTTCTAAACAAAATATTTTGCTGCCTGCTGCAGTGCAGAGCCTCCCCTGCCCATCCTGATGTCCCCAAGCACTGCCAGGGAAGGATGGCACTGAGCCCATGGCTTGCCTATCCTGACAACTCAAGAAACACACATGAGAGGAAGAAATGTGCATAATAGATGTCTTTATTCATAGCAAAGGGGGTTAAGAAAATAAGGCAAAACTCCAGCTCCTCTCTGAGCTCTGTTCACTGTGCTTTCCGACGGGTCTGTGACACTCAGGACATGCAAACAAAAGGACGGGGGCATCGTCACTGCATCCTGCTAAGGTTGGCTAAGGTTTTCCCTTCTTTTTCTCACCAAAACAAGTCCAAAATGCCTCCAATCTCCACAAAGCACTGGGGGAGGGTGGGGCGAGGGAGGGGCGTTGGAAGAATGGGATGGGAGCAGCTGATCCGAGGGGTCTGCAATGTCTCTAGGCCACCATAGAAGGTCATGAAGTCATGGGTCATGGCACCTCCATGCCCTGTTACCTGGGTGGGGGCCAGGATGCGATAATGAGCAAAAATAACATCTGCAAAAAAGCTGTGCGAGGAGGGTGGGGAGACCCAGCCTGGGTTTTTCTCTTTATTTTTGGGGGGGATCCAAGGAAAGCACCCACGGAGAAGAGCACAAGCGATGGGTTTAGCTGCACTGAGCTCCTCAACGGCCCGAAGCGCAGCTCAAAAATGGCCTCCCATGGCTGTATGGGGTCAGGGGGAGGTAAAGGAGGGGGTTGTGGGGCTTCATCGGGGCTTCTTCGAGCCTCCACGTTCGGGTGGGCGATGAGCAGGGCCGCCAGGAGACCGGCTCCTAGTCCATGGTTGGCACTAGGTGCTGGGAGAGCCATCTTGGACCTCCTTGCCCTCTGCGTTTGTTGCCTCTGACCCCACTCCTTCAGCATCTTGATTCAGGGGATGGGGCTCAATGGGATGCTCGCTGCCTTCTTCCTCCCCGCCCTCGTGCTCTCCCTGGGCACCGGCCCCATTGGTCAACGGCGCTTTATTGGGAGATTTGAGGTTCTGGGCTGCAGCCAAGATGTCAGCCTGCAGCTGTCGTCCACAGTCCAGGGGCTCCTCAGCGTCGGGGTCTGGAGCCTTCTCAGGCACCTCGTTGAAGTCCCGAGGCCCTCCGGTCTTATCCCGTTGGTCCACGTACTTCTTTTTGGGGAAGGAAGATGGGTAGTAGGCTGACGCCTTGTGCTTCTGCCGCACAATGACGGCGGCGCAGATGATGAAGAGCAAGACGAAGGCCAACGATCCCACCACCACCACCAGCAGCATGTACTCCTTGAAGAAATCCACCAACCCATCCAAGACGTTGCCTGGTGCCGAGCTGTTGGTGATGGCTGTCCCCACCGCGTCCCCCACTGTGGGGCCGCTTCCCGGCGTCACGGGTTGGGCGGGGGGCACAGCAGAGGCCTCCTCTCCATCCCCGCTGCCAACACTGGGCTCGTGGAACGCAGCCACGTGCCGTGGGGCTGCCGAGTGCACCAGGGCCACCAGAAACACCAACAGAAGGCACGCGGGCAGCTGCGCCGCCATCGCCCTGCAGAGAGCAGGGGGACAGCAAAACGTTAGGGCTGACTGGAGGAAAAACCCAAACCCCAAGCCAAGACTGCGTCACATTGACCCCAACCCAAGCAGCGCATTGACCCCCAGCCACACACAGCTGAAATTCTTCAAGAAAAGCAAAAAATGGACTCGCTGCAGTGGTGAGGATAAGCAAAGTTTGTGTTTGTTTTGCGAAGAGGGGCTGTAAAAATAGATGGAAAGCAGCCCAACGCGATTGCTCAAGTCATGGGGACGCTGCGTGCGCGACGAGGTGACCAGGGTGAGAGCCAAGAGCTGGCTGCAGGCTGCCTTCGTCTGGTTTGAAAATTCCTGAAAATTGAGGTTTCCAAGTGGAAACTCTGACACAGATGGAGCCGCCGCATTTCCCAACGCTCGTCCCAGCACTGCGCACTCCAAACGGTTCCCAGCCTGAGCTCAGCTATAAATAGGCTGGCAGGAGCTCAACCGGTACCAGACACAGCACATCCCCCCAGGCCCATCTCCCATCCTTACACCCCCAAATCCCGACCAGCTTGGGGTTCTCTCCCCCCAGTCTCAGCCTCCAGCCGGAGCTCTTGGCGCTCCAGCTCTCTCTGTCTGCAGAAATCTGGTTTGCATTAAAGCAGCGCGTGCACGGGGTGGGAGGTGGCCCTGCAATCCCTGCTGGGAGTTTGGGGGATGCAGTTTCAGGATTGGGGTGCGATCCCATGTCCCAGGAATGTGACTTTGTTTGCAAAAGGAGCCAGCAGCTGTAGAGTCAATACACGAAACCCAAATGGGTGACCACTGCCGTCTCCTTGTCCCCATCCCCACCATGTGGCCCCATCCCTGGCTTTGCCACACCAACGCAGATGCAACTCTGCTTTTCTGCAACCCATGAATTTGGAGATTTTGGTGCTGTGCAGACATACTATCCTCCAAAGCAGCTGCAGCCCCATCCTGCACCCCAAAAGCCATCAAGCCACCCAAAAATTGGAGTTTGAGCAGAAAAGAGAGCACAAAGCATTAGAAAGTAGGAGCTTTGAGGAGAACAGACTCCATGCAACAGACTCGGGGTTCAGGGGGCTCACCTCACCGGCACTGCGTGTCTGTCCCGTGCTCCTCTGCCTGTCTGCACTGAGCCCTGGTCCCGTTCCCTCCTCCTCCTTTTCTTCCTCTCCTCCTCCTTCACCCGCCGTAGCCCTGAGCTCACTGGCTGTGTGCGCAGCAGACCAGCTTGTTCTCATTAGGGCCGTGTTGGGGAGGGAGCAGGGGGAGGTTGGAGAGGGGCAGGCGGCCCCCAACCCACTATGGCTCCCTCCCAGTGGGGCGGCCCTGGGCTGGGGGCTGCTCAATGAAGGGGGTCACCTTCCCCACACTCCTTTTTGGGATGCAAGTGAGGAAAGGGGGGTGGGAGGAGGGGTTTGTAGCAAGGGATGGAGTTAACAGCGTGGTTCCTTCAGGGCTACGTGCAGCCCCAAAACGTGAGATTTTCCCCCATGCAGTTTCTTTTGGCTGCAACCCAACCTGGGGCTGGATCCCATCCCTGTAAACCTAAGTCTTGCCATGATGTGGGCTCAGGACACATGGTCCTGCAAAGCATGATCATGCATCTGCGCTGGGACAAAAGGGGATCAAAACTGCACGCAGAGCTCTGCTCACCTGCCCCATCCATCCTATCCATCCCATCCACCCCGTCAGTCCCATCAGTCTCTTCCATCCCATTCGTCCACCCATACCGTCCACCTCATTCACCCCCTCCATCACCTCCAGCTCATCCCCCCTTACACCCTATCCACCCTGTCTGCCACCAGGCACACCAAAGATGTCCATTCTGCCACCCCCTTTCAGCTTTGGCCTTTCGCTGGAGGCCAGACTGTCACATAGCTCCCATCATCCCGTGGCAGAGCAATGTCCCCAGGATAGAGAAAGAGTTGGGAGGTGTTACCCTGAGATCCACAGGGATAAGGACAGGGATGGGGACCAAGACAGGGACAGGGATGAGGAGGGTTTGGGGCTTGGTTCCCTGAGACTTTTGATGGCTCACAGTGTGGCCTTGAGGTGCAGAAACATCTCCAGAATGAGGGCATCACCCATCCCACCCTTCTTGGCCCCTCATCCCCTCCGTTGCAGCTGAAGTAACTCAAGCAGTGACCTCATCCCCTTGCTATTTGCATCCCGCCTCCCTGGGGACCCTGCCAGAATCCCCCTAAGAAGCCACTGCTTTGGGACCGCAGGGTGGGGGATGAGGGTGGGCGTCTCCGTTCCTGTCCCTGTCCCCATTTCCATCCCCGACGCAGTTCAGGTTTCACCCGGCGTCACCCCCTCTCTCCCAGAAATAACGCATCTGTCCGTCTGCCTGCAGCCCGCCGGCTGCTCACAGCTGCTGCTTTATCCCGACCTTAAATTATCTGCAAATCCTAAAAGGGAGAGGAGAGCCTGGGATGGAGCCAAGGCCCCACTACGTGCCATGTGTCCCCATTCCTCGTCTCAAGGACCATGGGTCCGTGATGACATTTGGAATAAAGCAGCACTGGGGAGCACTGAACCACTGTCCCTGTCTGCAAAGAGCACAATTTGGGGTGGTCCCTCTGCCAGCACCCACCGACCATTACGATGCTGTTTTTGGGGACTGGGCAGGGCAGCACCGCCCGGGCTGTGCTGTGTAATTTGGGGCAGATGAAAGGTGGGGGCCCACAGGGCTCGGCTCAGCACAGCCCCGAGCCCAACCAGCAATTTGGGAAATTTCGGCCTTGGTCTGCTTGTAATTTGCTCCGTTGGGTTTGCTCTTTGCTGTGGCAGCAAAATAGCTGGGGGGGGAGCCTCGTCCTGCAGGGCTGCACCACGGCGTGCGTGGCCATGTGGGCAGCACAGCAGTGAGCCACAAAGCAGCCTGCACAACACAGCACTGTGCTCTGCCCAGCACTGTGCACAGCCACTGCATCCCAAGCACGGAGCTACCCTTGGAGCCAACCTGGCCACTGCCCTGTGTTGTGGCTCAAGGCGTGGGGACATCCCATCCTACGCCGTGTCCCTCGCAGAGAGCGTGGCACCACATCCATCTGATGGCAGACAGCTGTCATTATGGAAGAGCAGCTGTGGGGTGGCCCCACCACGCCATCCCCGCTGCACTGGCCCTGCAGCCTCACCGTAAACATTTACATTGAGCGAGGTGGAAAATATTCAAAGCAGAGCGTGAATGTAAACACACAGAGGCCAGGGCGGGAGCGGGATGGCCACTCCTCTGCTTTCGAGGCACGGATGCACTGGGGAACAGCACTTGGGGAGGGGCTTCGCTGCCCAAATGCTGCAAATGGTGGTGTGAGCAGGGTGGTGGGGACATGGGGACGGGACGGGGGGAGAGGGCTGAGGATGGTGGGAGCAGGATGCTGAGCTGGGACAGGGATGGGGAGATTGGGGATGGAGACGTTGGGGATGGTGATGTTGAGACTGGAAGAGCAGGGGTGGGGATGCTGTGCCCAAATGGCACATGGATGGGGATGCAAGGATGTGCCCACGGAGGACCAGGATGGTGACATAGGGGCACAGCCCTATGGTGGGGCAGGGACGTAAGCCATTTTTGCTCGCTTGGGTGACTCCTCCAAGCTGAGCACAGGGAAGAGGTTGGGTTGATGACTCTAGGGATGGCCGACACCTCCCCACTGGGACAAGGTGGGACCAGCATGGTCCCAGAGTCCTCTTCTCCCCCTGGACACAAGGCCAAGAGCCCACAACCACCACCTGTGGGTATGGGATACAGGCCAGCAGCACCTTACCAGCCCCAGTGCCATCCCCTTGCCCCATTGCATTTGACTGCAGGCAGGAGCATGTTAAGCCACAAACACACCCACTGCAGCACCGCCACCCTTTCCACTCCCAGCATGAGGTTGGGAACCCTGGGATCACCATCTCCATACGCTCTGCACCCTGGGAGGGTTTCATTTCTGCTGCTGCCATCAGAGGAGGAGGATGGAGAAGCGAAATTTCAGGATGGGGATGTGGGCAGGCACCGAGAGATCACCGCATCTGTGTAGCAGAGGCATTTTAATGGGGTGGATAAGTCTTTTCCATACAGTTCCAAGGCGAACAGTGGTAGCACCAGCGGCGGACCCCAGGCTGTTCCATCACCACGATGCTTCAGGAGTGCTCCGGCAGAAAGCTGCTGAGCGTCAGGTTATCACCATCAGCTTCAGAGCTGGCATCGACCAGCAGCCTGTGACGCACAGGGATGCCACGCCGGGGACCATTGCTGGCAGCACGCTCGCTGTCGGGCAGCAGGGAGGAAATACAAATCATCTCGGTGGGGCCGAGCTGCCGACGAGCCGTCCTCACCCGCCGCCAAAGCAAGGTGCCCAGCACTGCCGTGCACACCATGAAGAGCCCGGCCACCAGTGCCAGCAGCAGGATGGCCAGCAGGCACTTGTTCATCAGCGAGCTGTTATCCCACAGGTCATCGGAGGGCTCCGACGCTGTGGTCCCCCATGGTTTCATGGAGAAAGGTGTTGTGTCCACCTCCCATGGAGGGCGAGAGCCAGTTTTTTTGGAAAATGTGGTGGTGGGGAGAAGAGCTGAGCCTGGCTCCGTGGAGATTTCCATGTCACTGGTGACGGTCCCATCCGTGCCATGCCCTGTGGATTCCATCAGCTGGTTGGGCACAACGGTGCTGCCACTTTGGGGTGCTGTGCCGGGCGCTGTCTCAGGAGAGTCGGTCTCATCCAAAGGATCCATTGTGGTGACCACCAAGGCCTTGGTTTTGCTGGTGCTGTCGTTCATCTTTGATGTCAGCTCCGAGCCCAGCGGCACAGTGGGCTCAGGGGTGTTGGTCTCATTCAATGGATTCACTGTGGTGACCAGCGAGGCCTTGGCTTGCCTGGGGGTGTTGCCTGGCTGCGGTAGTGACTTTGTGCCCAAGAGCTGGGACTGGGGGGAATTGGTCTTATCCAAGGAACCGGCCGTGGTCGGCACCAAGGCCTGGCTGGAGGTGTTGTCTGCCTCCGTGTCCAGCAGTGCATAAGGCTCAGCGGAGTCATCCATTTGACCTGCTGTGGTGACCACCAAAGGTTTGGGCTGCCCAGTGGTGTTATCCGGCTCCATCAGCATGTCATGCCCAGGGGATGCAGTCTCATTGCTAACAGGCATCACAGTGGTGCTGTGGGGTCCAGCATCAGCTCTTCTTCTGCGGAAGGGCAGCGGGGGCTCAGCCGGGATCTTCTCTGCTGCCCCCCAGACCCACTGCAGGTCCTGCTGCATGGGCCGGGGCCTGCAGTCCTGCAGGGTGCTGAGCAGCAGTGCCAGCAGCACGGTGTAGCCCAGTGCCATGGGACCTGGGGAGGACACATGGGGTGGGTGAAACGAGGCCCCTCCACCCGAGCAAAGAGAGTTTGCAAAGGGAAGTGGAGAGGCTGGAAATGGGAAACGAGCTGTGATGGAGACGGCTGCTGTGAGAAGAGTGGGTGCAGGAGGGCTGCCTGAGTGGAAATGAAAGTGTGGGGATGGTACGGGCTGCAGATTGAGAACCCCCAGTGCCTTCCTCCCCCTCTGTGCTGCCAACATAATGCTGGGGGCATCCACTCAGAGCAGGATTAAAACCACCCAAACCCACCCGGCACTCAGCAGTCCCCAAAGTGTTCACATCCAGCCCCAAAACTGCCCCACATCTGCCCTCCTCACATCCCAGTGAGCAGCATGGGGAAGAGGGTGGCAGCCCCTGCAGACTCTATGCATCCCCTGGGCACCCTGCTCCATCCCCATGGGTTTTGAGGCTCACCTGTGCCGGGGGATGTTGAGGGACCCCGAGCTGCAGCACCGGTGGCTGTCGCTGCTGAGGTCCCAAACCCAGGGGCGTCGTGGGCTGTGCTCCGCCTGCAACTCCCCAGTGAGGCAGGCAGGAAATGTGGCTGCGGTTTTGGAGCCTTGCAAGAAGAGGACGTGACGCTGACACCGGAGGCCAGGGGGCTGTGTGCACCCCAGAAATCAGCCTCCTGCTCCTTTACCAGGATGATGGTCCCGTGGCTATTCCACTGCCCTGCTTCTCCGAGCCTGCACGCCGGGGCTTGTGCTCAAAGCACAAGTGAAAGCAGAAGTGATAGGAAAGGCAGTGCAAAAGCTGGCAGCACCCATGGCACGGCGCAGGCACAGATCCCTGAGAGCTGACCCCATGGGATGACACAGGGGACCCCGTGTGGAAAGGAGGAGGGCAGGGGCTTGGCTCTATGCATTCACAGAGCCCCCATATCTAAATGCTTCTCCTTGCACCTGCCCAAGGCAGCACTCAGGCTCACAGAGCACAGGGATGCTGAGGAGGAACCCGCCCTGACCGCAAGCACCGGCACAGCAGTGCGCAGGAGCTGCACCCGCAGGAAGGGTGCTGCAAGAGCACATCCGCAGTACACACCCTGCATCCAAAAACAACCCCACCACAGCCCTCTGCCCCAACATAGGGTGCAGTCTTGGCTGCATCCACCCCAAAGCTTCTGGGAAACCCATGGGGCAGGGGTAGAGAGAGCATCACTGGGACAAGGCCAGGGCATGCACAGGCTGCGAGGGAGCATCTCCTGCAGAGAGCATTCCCATCTTGCCCTCTCAGCAGCCCCCAGCTGTGCTTGCAGGGGAACCACCATCCCTTGGGGCCACACTGGGCAGAACGCAGAGTCCCAGAAGAGGGGTGGCTCAGCCCCACTACCGGGTTTCCATTGCTGTGGTTATCCCACGGTGCCATCATTCATCAGAACCCACACCCCAACCCCACAGCCCCCACACCTGCCTGGGACCAGCTCCAAGAGGGGAACTGGGCACAGCTGATGACATTCCCCACCCCCACGCCTTCCTGGGCACCCAGGCCTGGCAAGAACACAGTCAAAAAACAAACCAAGAGAAGGAAGTTTGTAATCAATGACTTTTTATCTCTTGAAAATGGAAGCAAATATTTGGACAGATAACTATGGCCGCTCTATAAGAGCGCATCTTTCAGGACGTCGCTGGTTCTCTTCTGGGATATCGCGGCTACAAAAAGCTTCAGGCACTGACTCTGGCTGAGCCTGGCGAGGCATCATCAGTTCATTTAAATAAAGCACAAGCTATAAGCTCACAGCCACGGCGGCCATTCCTCAAACCTCCACCGCACACCAACCCCATCTGGGCACCTCCATCCAGCGGTTCGGAAACTTATTTCCCTCCAATTTGAAAAAAAAAAATAAAATAAAAGTTCTCCCCAAGCACACAACCACCCTGAAATCACACAAACCAACACAGAGATCACCGTTTCGGGGGGAGTGGAACGTTTGGTTTTGACTTCCCAAAAGTAAAGACACATCAGCTCAGCCATTTACTGCGGCACAGAAACGTCACCAAACGGCCCCAGGACCCGGAGGGCTGCGACACGGCACCAGCGGTCACTCACACCCCCCACCTAAAAACACTTTGAGGAAGCTTTCATGCTCTGGGATCATAACACATTCTCTGCCTCTCGCATCCCATCCTCATGCCTCTCTGCTACTTCTCCTAGCTGTCCCCATTCTCACTGACACAGACATCCCTTCCAGCACAGAGAATCCTTAACGGGTAAGGAGTGAACATGCAAACACTGAAAAAAGGAAAACCCCCCAAAAAAACCAACCTAATGGGGGATTTGAGGCTGTCTATAGCTAACCTAATGGAAAAAAGGATCAGCCTGGATGAAGGGACGCATCCTGCTGCTGCTCTGAGCACACACACAGGCACGCACGCTGCAGCCGTGCAGGATGAAGGACTAGAGCACAGCTGGGAGGGGACTGGGGGCTCATCAGCTGCTGACTGCTTCCCAGATGTTGGTCTGACCCCAACAGGTTTGCTCACGTTGGGTTAGATAAGGGATGCTGGGCACTGCATACGGGCTGCACCAATACAGCAAAGCCTGACGGCTGGCAGAGTTTGGCTGGGCAGCATCATCCTGGTCACACCTATGGGAACTCCTATGACCAGATACAGAGTCAAGAACATGGCTGCCCCGTGCCCAGACACCCCCCTGGCAGTGCAGACCTCATGTGAGCAGCAGAAACCCAGCGAGGAGCTTGGCGTGCCTTGCACCTTTCAGCTGAGGACCTCAAAGAGGAGGAGAGTTGCTGATCTCATCCAGGAAGAAACCATTTCCTGCAAAGTTTTAAGGCAGGGATGATAGAAGGGGAGAAAAAGATCAACAACAGTCGGAGGCGTTTTGTTTCTGAGATCCATCATGAAAGTTGCCTGGCTGCTCCTAACACTGCTTCGGAAGCAGAGTCCAAATTTCTATCATCAGCACTACAGTCTGGGACAAAGAATTGCAAAGTCACAGCTTTTAAAAGGCTTCTGAAAGCAATGAAGGTGCAGGCACACATTTACAGCCACGCACACAGCACAGGAGCTGGCTGTCCGTGTGGCCTGCAGGCTGCTGACACTGCACACCGTAAGCTTTGTGCCCCATCAACACAACACAACTGCCTGCACGGAGGTCACTTCTGCCTTAAAACAAAACCTGGCAATGAGCACACGTCCATTTGGACACAGCTGGGATGGTCCCAAACTCTTTTCCAAGGGCAGCATGACGCTGGTTCAGAAGTCCTGCAGGGTGTACAAAGGAGAAGAGGCATTGCGGCACGGATCGCTTCGTTCAGAACGTTATATATATTTTTCAACCACAGTCAGAAGGCATTAGGAAGGCAGGAAAGTCACCTCTGAGGGGCTCAGCAGCAGCCACACTGCGAGGGAAGCCGATCTGATTGTTCAACATTGAAGATTTATACAAAATAGCTTCAGTTCCGATCTCTAAACAGTATAAACACCCCCATACACGCACGCGCACACACACACAGTGCTGTCCCTTTAAATTTAAAACACAAATACTGCAAAGTGGCAAATAAAATTTAAAAAAAAAAAAAAAAAGCAAGTTTTTTTTTCTCTTTTTTTTTTTTTTTTTGGCAACTTTAAAAAAAAAAAATAATGGTTACGAACAATGTGGCATTGGTCCCTACATCTAGAAAAGATATTTGGGCACAACATGGAAAGAGTCAGAATGGGTTTCTTTTCAAGAATTCATAACATCTGTAAAAAAAAAAAAAAGACTGTAAAAGTAGCACTTATTCTCGTTGAATTGTTTGACACAGTCACATAAATTCATTAAAACATCAGGGAAAAAAAAAATTCTTTCACTAAAAAGCTTGGCTTTAATCATCGGCTCTCGTTGACGTGAATTTGGGAGAACAGGAAAGCTCGTACTGGAATGCTGCACGCTGCTGCTGGCCAAACCGGGGAACTGGAATGTGTTGGGCTGGCAGCGCCCGCCAGCCCCGCTCAGTCTGCGATCTTCGCCATCTGCTGTTCCAGCTTGGAAATGCGCTCGTCTTGGTTGGTGATGGTGTCTTTTATGGATTTCAGCTCTTTCAAAATCTCATCCAATTTGGCTTCGTTTTGCTGGAAGGAAAGACACAGCATATATTCGTTATGAGATGGCAGGATTCGGTCCTGCAGAATTCAGTTGTTAAAGCAAAGGGACTTCTCTGGATGGGAGCCTTGCAAGGCTCGAGCATGCTGAACTCCCACTGTGGAATCATTAAGGTTAGAAAAGACCTCTGAGATCATCAAGTCCAACCATCAGCCCACTCATGCTGCTAACCACATCCCTTACGCAAACCCTCCTTGCAGACAGCAGCCTGACCCAATCCCAGCGTGCTGGAATTGCACACACCAGCTTTGTTAGAACTGTTCTTAAGGATGGCAAACAATTTCAGGCCTGCACCCCCATAAACTTGCAGATTTTACTCACAGTGTCTGAGGCATCAGCTGCTTTCTTTGGAGCACTTATGAGATCACTCTTCTTGTTTGCAGCAGGTTTGTTATCCAGTATATTCTTCTTGACCACCTTGAGATCCCTGTTCTTGCCAGGAATGTACCCATGCTTCAAGGAAATGAGAAGGGGATCAGCATTCTTCCCCTCAAACCACTCCTCCGCTTCCAGCGCTGCCTCTGGGCCAGCTGTGTCGGGGTACAGGTCATCCTGGAAGAGGTCCGACTGCAAGGAGAAATGAGTGGGTCAGGAGCTTTGGGGCTGGAAGGCAGCAGTGGCCTGCACACCGTGCCAGCAGCATCCTGGGCTCACCTTTCGAGGGACTGTCATGATGATGGGCTCACATTTCCGCTCATGAAGCTTGAAGAACCTTTCAAAAAAAGGATAATAATAATAATAATGAAGAAGAGGTGCGACTTGGAGGGAGGACAGTTGACACGCCATGCAGAGGAAGCCTCAGTTCTGCTGCTCATGCATAGCAGTGTACTGAGAGGCAGAGGCAATCCTAAAGGGTCACAGCAGGGCTGCGCTAGAGCAGAGCCCTTGTAAGGCCCAGAGAAAGCTACCTGTGTGCGTGCAGAACTCCCTCCTAGGCACTGCGTGACTTCAGAGAGCACTCTGGCCAGAAGGGCCATCAGAATGGCACAGCCCGCTGCTTGGGCTGTTGAGACAAGCACCACACAAGTGATTTCCAGGTATCACAGCACCAGCAGCGTCCTGCTCACTACACAGCCTTACTCTGAGCCACTTACACAAACTCCAATCCCTCAGCTCAGCCACTGAGGCACTGCTACTGGAAAATTCATATGCTGCAGACAATTCGTTTGAAGGCTTTGCTTCCTTTCTCACTCTCCTGCTTTCATTAATAACAAGAGGAGGACCAAACAGCTTCAGAAACCACCTCCAGCACATTCCCTACCAGCAGTATGCCAGGAGCCACTGCAGACATCAGCCTGCATCCCCGAGGTGCTTTCCTTTGCCTTACTTTCCTTGGTGATTCTGAACCACATCTGCACACGCTGCTGCTCACAATAAATTCTTGAGACAGCTTCAAACCTGCTTGCTGCATCCAAGCTGGAGATTGGGATCAGCCTTTCTCCTTACCTGGCAATCTCGCACTTGTTCACATCAAGGCCCCTCTTTGGCATGAACCCCATTCCCCTCTGCGGCTCTTTGCTGCTGAAGGTGTTGAGGTAGTGAACATAGGGGGATTCATCCGTGATCTCAAAGTAGCGAATGCTGCTGTCACCC